GAGAGGCAAACACACACATTCCTCTCCCTTTCTACCTTCCCCTCTCTCTGAAAATAAAATAAATAAAATATTTAAAACAAACAAACAAAAACATATACCTAGGTATATCATTTTCAAACTACATTAAGAAAAAATTCTGAAAGAAACCACAGGGAAAAAAACCTCACCTATAGAAAAATAAAGATAAGAATTACATCTGACTTCTCTGAAACCATGCCAGCAAAAAGAGAGTAAAAAGAAATATTTATTTATCAAATCTTCGTTTAGTTAGATCTTCTTTGATTGTGTTCATGAAAGTAGAATTTATCCCAGGAATGCATGGCTGATTTAACATATGAAAATCAATTAATACATCAAATCAAGAAAACAAAAGACAAAACCTACATGATTATCTCAACGGACAAAAAAAGCATTTAACAAAATTCAACACTTCATAATAAACACATTTTCAAATGGTTAAAATAGTATATTTTATGTTTTGTGTATTTTACCATAATAATAATGCTTTTTAATGAGCAACAGATCTGAATAGACATTTCTCCGAAGACACACAAAGGACCAATAGACACATGAAAAAATGCTCAATTCCATTAGTCATAGAAGTGTGCACATCACAACCATAGTGAAACACCATTGCATGCCCACTACATGGCCATTAAAAAAGAAGTGTTGCTGAGATGAGGAGGAATCGGAACCCTCATGCAGTACTAGTGGAATGTAAAAGGTGTGGCCACTTTAGAAAATAGTCTGGCGCCCTGACTGGTGTAGCTCAGTGGGTTGAGCATGGGCCTGCAAACCAGAGGATAGCAGTTCAAGTCCCAGTCAGGGCACATGCCTGGGTTGCAGGCCAGTTTCCAGCAGGGGACGCACAAGAGGCAACCATACATTGATATTTCTCTCCCCCTTTCCCTTCCCCTCTAAAGATAAATAAATAGAATCTTCCCCTCTAAAGATAATAAATAGGAGAAAAAGAACTTAAAAAAAAAGAAAACAGTCTGGCAGTTTCTGAAGTAATTAAATATTGAGTTACCGTATGAACCAGGAATTCTACCTCTAAGTACATGCCCAAGAGAATAAGAATCTATGTCGACACAAACACTTATACTTGAATATTCACAGCAACTTTAGTTATAATAGCCAAATAGTACAAACAATCCAAATGTACACCAAATGATAAATGGACAGACAAATTGCGGTACAGCAGTATAATAGGATATTACTTAGCAATAAAGAAATGAAGTATTGATACATGCCAAAACATGGATACAGCTGAAAACATTAAGCTAAATGAAGGAAGCCAGTCACAAAAAAAAAAACAACAAAAAAACCACATTATGATGAGATTCCAGATACGTGGAATGTCCATAACAGGAAAATATATGTAGACAGACCAAAGAGATTTAGCACCTGCTTAGGGCTGGGTGGAATGAGGGGTGAAAACATTCTAGAATTAGACTATGGAGATGACTACACACTTGTCAATGTACTAAAAACCACTGTACACTTCAGATGATGAATGTACTGTATGATGAATGAATTATATGGTATGTACGTTATATCTCAATAAAGCAATCACCATAAAAATAGAGAAGTAAAGACTTTCTCCTGTTTTGTTTTGTTTTTTTTTGGTTTAGCATCTTACTGAGGCAGCTCTGGAAGCAGGTGCTCTTGGAGTTTCACTGTGCTGCCCAAGGACAAGAAGGAATATAGATGCTGAGGAGTCAGCCATGAAAGACAGAGACCCAGTGGACAAGTCTGGGGGTAAGGCCAGAAAGAAGTGGTAGTCCAGGGGCAAGGTTCAGGACATGCTCAGTAACCTAGTCTTGCCTGACAAAGCAACACATGGCAAACTCTGTAAGGAATTTCCCAACTATAAGCTTACACCCGCAGCTGGTGTCTCTGAGAGACTAAAGATCCATGGCTCCTGGGCCAGGGGAGCCCCTCAGGAGCTCCTCAGTAAAGGACTTAGATTCAAAGCACAGAGCTCAAAAAATTTACATTGGAAACATCAAAGGTGGGGATGCCCCAGCTGCTAATAAAGATGCATGAACAGTGGATTGAGCGTGAGCCTGCGAACCACACGATTGCGGTTCCATTCCCAGTCAGGGCACATGCCTGGGCTGCAGGCCAGTTCCCGGCAGGGGACTCACAAGAGGCAACCATACATTGATGTTTCTCTCCCTCTCTCCTTCCCTTCCCCTCTAAAAGATAAATAAATATTTTTAAAAATTAAAAAAAAAAGATGCATGAACAACAGGTCCCACCAGCTGTACATTTTGACAAATAAAACATTATTAATTTTTTTAAAAGAGGCTTTCTGAGACAAACAGAAATAGAAAATTGGCAACATATTTACATTACAAGAAGCGATAACAGAAATTCTTCTAACAGAAAAAAGTACAGGGGGGAAATAGAACAACTGTAATGGCATAATTAATAAAATATATTTTTTTTAAAAGTACAGTACTGGACAGGAACTGAGATTTATACAAAGAAATAGCCCTTGAACTGGTACAAAGTATGCAATTCTTTATTTTTTACCTCCATTGCTCTAAAAGACAACTATCTAAAGCAAAAAACATATCAAGCATTGTGCATTTATAACATATATGGCAAAAATAATACAAAGGAGGGTAGAAAGTAATTAGGAGTAAACTGTTACACAAGTCTACACCACACCTGAAGCAATTAACAGTATTTGAAAGTGTGATTGAATGTATATTGTAAACTCTAGGGCAACCACTAAACATTTCTTTTTTAATTCTGAGAGTACGTTTATTAAAGCAGGGACAATGAAACAAAGAAAGGGCTTAGGACAGAAGCACCAGGAAAGAGTTTAAGCGGGGCTGCTTTGACTCTCTAGAAACATTCCAGGAAAGAAGTGAGCCAAGGCAGGGCGCCTCGGGCTCACCGAGAAGTCAGAGAAAAGGGAGCCTTGGCGAAGGACAGGGTCAGGGCTCAGTCAGAGAGGAGCTGCCACCGCCCACTGCCCCCTGGGGTGCATGTCTGTGGGGTCCTTCCTTCAGACTTTAGGAGATGCGCTTCTAAGGAGCAGTGGAAGGGAAAGGCACAGGTGTGCTCCCAGAATGGGGAGGGCCTCGACATTTTTAAAGGACATATGAATAATAAATAAGTCAACAGAAGTTGAACGTAATCATAAAATAATACTTAACAAATACAAGAATGGAAAAAGAAACAATTGGAGCCAATAGCTTTCAAAATGGTAGATTTTAACAGAATCACATCAATGTAAATGTGAAACACCGAAGTTGTCAAACTGGATGAAAATGCACAACACAACTAAAAACAAGTAAAATCCAATTTGACCACAAAGATCCAGAATTACTAACCAAACAACTGTCAACAGGCCAGCAGTGGTGGCAAACATTTAACCATCAATTGATAAAGACAGAAAATAACTCTTATTGGTAATCTCAAATCTGAAAGTAACAAGTACATCGACAAATCAACCATATTAATAGCCACCTTTAGATGTAATTCAGTGATTTAACAACAAAGCTGTTTATAGTAAATTTTACAAGGCTGAGAATTATACATTAAATCACCAAAATGCAAATTAACAGTGAAAAGTCTTGTTTATTTTCAGTCAACTGAAAATTGACTGAAATTATTTTAATAATTTCAACCAGTTATCTCTTTGAAAAGGTCACTGAAATATGTGCACATTTCACATCACATAAAAATGTAATTACTAGCCCTGGCTGGTGTAGCTCAGTGGATTGAGTGCAGGCCTGCGAACCACATGATCACAGTTCGATTCCCAGTCAGGGCACATGCTTGGGTTGCAGGCCAGTTCCCAGCAGGGGACGCACAAGAGGCAACCATACATTTGATATTTTTCTCCTTCTCTCCTTCCCTTCCCCTCTTAAAGATAAACAAATAAAGTCTTTTTTAAAAATGTAATTACTAGCCCCTGCACTCAGTCCAGCCAGCTCGCTTCAGTCTGAGGAGCTGCACAGGGCCCGCCCCCTCCACCCCCACCCCCCTTCCTGCCAACGTGGTGCTATGCTGAAAGAATGGGCCACCTCAGCACTCTGACCGCTCGCTCAGCCCTGGGGAGGGGGTACTATTCAGGCATCACACACAGGCCCGTTCTGCTGTCAGTATGTCAATTCACAAAGATTAATGGGTAACAATAGAAAATGTTACTGAAATGGTGGGAAACAACAATTTTGCAAAGGGAGCAAGGGAACTGTTGCTTACTGTAGTTTCCCTGAAGTTGGGACAAAAATGAACAAAAAGATAAGTTTGGTGCTTTAGAAAGTGTGAAACCTGCTAGTGAATTCTGTTCTCCCCTATTAGGAGAAGTAACTGAAATTAACGAAGCTCTAGCAGAAAATCCAAGACCTGTCAACAAATCTTGTCAGGAACATAACTGGCTAACAAAGATGACAGTGAATAACCCTTCAGAACTAGATGTACTAACAAGCCCTTAGCCTGGGGACAGTCCTGTGGGACTAAGCCCTAATCAAGGAGGTGGCACTGGGACCCAGTTAAACCGCAGGACACCCAGTCTGTCTGTGTCTGCCTGAGCTGGAGAGCTGCTGGGTGTAAGGAAAAGACCCTGCATATCTGATGACCAGAGTGCGGAGCTGAGAGCAGAGGAGATGCACAGAAAAGCTGTTCCCTTACCATTCTACTAAGTAACTTCCTAAGTGAGTGTATTATCTGTATTTTATTGACAAGCAAACATAGGTTAGCTGAAAGCAGTGACTTGCCTGAAGTCCACACACTCAGCGTTGAAGAAAGGACTCAAATCCAAGAGTGCCTAAGTCTGAAGGCCACATTTTTAACACTGTCTCTAATAAGTCAATTGTATAAGATCGAGGTAATTGTGACTCCTTAAAATTTTAATGGGATCCAGAATAAACAAAGCACATACATCCTTATTCAGAGAAATCTTTTCCTAATGAAGAAACTAGTATCAATTCTATGACTTACAATTTCTAAACCATTCTCAACACAAAAATGAAACATACGTGCAATTTTTTTTCTTTTAGCCAAACATCTTCCTCTATTTGACTGTTTAGTCGTCATTTTCTGCAATCCATTCTCCTCCTTCGGTTCCTGTTGAAAAACAAGTAATATGATCAGGATGGCTACCATTAAAAGTATACTCTCTCAATCTCCTCTATAGCTAAGAGGCCACTGAGTATCTGAAGAATCAGTGGTTGTAAACATTCACAGAAAACATCAGTAAAAGATCTTTTACAGCACAAAAGTAGACCTGGAGCCAATAAATATAAAAATAAAAATGTATAGTATATTGACATTATTATGTCATCCACATGCTTATGTAAAAACTGGCCCATCTACAAACAGCACCCAACCAAGTTCAGAAAAGGCTTGATTGAAGGTCTAAAAATCAACAATAATGTTTTAACTCAGTGCATATACATTTTTTAAATCAGTACTTTAAAAAGCAACAGAACAACTTGGGGAAAGTGCAACATATTTGTCAGATAAAGTGTTAATTTTCCTTATACAGTCACACATAGCATAAATACATTTCAATCAACAATAGACTACATATACTACAGTGCTCTCCTAAGATTATATTTGAACAGCCCTGGCTGGTGTGGCTCAGTGGATTTAGCGCCAGCCTTCGAACCAAAGGGTTGCTGATTTGATTCCCAGTCAGGGCACATGCCTGGGCTGTAGGCTAGTCTCCAGTGGGGGGGCGCACAAGAGGCAACCGCACTGATGTTTCTCTCCTTCCCTTTCTCCCTCCCTTCCCCTCTGTCTAAAAATAAATAAAATATTTTTTAAAAGATTATAATAAGCTGAAATATTTCTGTCTCCGCATGACACCATAGCCATTGTAACATCGTACACATTACGTTTGTGGTGATGCTGGTGTAAATATCTACTGTGCTGCCAATCATACAAAAGCATAACAAATACAACTGTATAGTGCAGTACGTAATACATAATAATGATAATAAATGACTATCTTACTGGTTTATATATTATAATATACTTTTAATCATTATTTTAGAATGTTCTTATTTCTAAACAAAGTTTACTGTAAAACAGTATGCCATGTTATACCAACAGTAACCTCACACATTTTGTGCTTACTATGTATCTCTTGATTGAACCCTTTTCTCTTATATTTGATTAATCTGTGTTGTTTTGTACAGTAACATGCTGTACAAGCTGGTGGCCTAGGAGCAACAGGCTATACCATATAGCTTAGATGTGTACTAAACTAAACCTTCTAGGTTTGTATAAGTACACTCCATGATATTCACACAGTAAAATCTCCTAACAACACATCTCTCAGCATGTGTCGTTAAGCAGTGCATGACTATATACAAAGAGCCCTTACAAATCAATAAAAAGACCAATATTTAGCCTCTTCCCATAGGAAATGACATAATAAGACACTTCATAGGAAAACATACACAATGGCTGATAAGAATATGGAAAGATGCACAACTTCACTTTAGATATGCCAATCAAAACAATTACATAGACTTTTTTTTCCCTACACTAGGTAAAAATAACATATTTTACAAAACACTGTGGGAAACAGGTACTCACATACCACTGATGGGATAAAGTGGATGCAATAGGTTTAGAGGGCTAATCGGCAATAACCACTAAAATCGTAAATACACACGCTCTCTGTCCAGCAATGCTGCTAGGAATTTATTCTAAAGAAATGCTCACACATTAACATAAAGATGTGTGTACAGTAATTTTCAGAGTAGAATATTTTGTTAGTGTAAGACTGTAAACAACCTCAATCAATGCTACTCAAAGTATGATATACAGGTGGCAATCAGTACACTGCTTGTTATTAGTCTGTAGCAAAATAAACATGGAAACTTTTATAGCAATTTGACATTGCTAGAACATCCATGCAGGATATCAGGCCTTCCATGGTAAAAGCCGCAGACTAGTCATTTGCAAAAGCACCAAATTATAATATGTGATAGTTTAAGATTAGTTATTTATTAAAATTCAAAGTATATAAATACCTGGAAAAAACATTTATTTATAACAGTATATTAACTATAATTTTTGTAGTTAATTTTTAATAAAGCCTATTTTTGAATTATACTTTATACTGTTAGTTAAATAAGAGAAGTTCATTATGACCCAGAGATTCCACTTCTGGGAATTCATCCAAAGAAACCTGGAACACTAATTAGAAAGAATATATGGACCCCTATGTTCTTTGCAATGTTATTTACAATAGCCAAGATTTGGAAGCAGCCCAAGTGTCCATCAGCAGATGAGTACATAAAACAACTATGGGACATTACCACAATGGAATTCTACTCAGCCATAAAAAAAGAAGAAAATTTTACCTTTTGCAACAGCATGGATGGTCTTGGAAAACATTATGCAAAGTGAATTAAGCCAGTCAGAGAAAGACAAGTACCATATGACTTTACTCATGTGTAGAATCTAACAAACAAACTGAACAAGCAAAATAGAAACAGACTCATAGACAGCAAGCTGACAGCTCATGGTGGGGTACAGGGTGGAGGGATCGAGCAAAAAAGAACTCATGGACATGAACAACAGTGTGGTGATTGTGGGAGGGAGGCCATGGGTGAAGGTGGAAGAGGACATAAGAGGGATAAATGGTAATAAAACTATTCTAAAAAGAAGGACTTCGGTAAAGATGGCAGTGTAGGCAGACACAGCTCGCCTCTTCACACAACCACATTGTACTTACAACTAATATACAGAACAACCATCGCTTAGAACCATCAGAAATCAAGTTGAACAGAAGTCTGACAACTACAGAATTAAAGAAACCACATCCATCCGGACTACTAGGAGGGGAACAGACCAAAAAATGGCTCATCCCACACCCACGTGTGGTGAATAAAAATTCAGGAGGGATATGGGGGAAGCGGGGAAGAATCCCAGTCCCACACCAGGCCCCCCAGCTCAGGATTCCAGTGCCAGGAAGAGAAGACCCCAAAACTTCTGGCTACAAAAACCAGGGGGGATTCAGTCGGTGGACGAAACTGCTGGAGCCCAAAGCAGTTCCTCCTAAATAACCCACACACAGTCTCCCCTACTCAAGACTCACTCCCTCTGAGCTCCAGCACCGGGGTAACAGCTTGAAAGGTATAGAGGGAGAAACTGAAGTGCCTGGCATCAAGGTGAGCAGAGGCCACTGTCCCTTTTCTAAACCCTCCCCACACAAAGCCAGTAGACTGGTGCCATATCTGAGACTCCATCAACCTGGCTAAAACTGTTTGACTCACCTTGGAGAGCCCCAGAGACGCTGCCCCACCCAACTTATGGCTGGACCCAAGCTGCTTTTCCATATAAATGGATGGTCTCCATGTGAAGTTGTTTCACAACTTCCTAAATCCTCTCAAACAAGCAACAGCTATCTTCAGAGAGCCTCAGGCCTGGCACTAGCAGCAACCAGATTAGAACCATAGGCTGGCTTGGCCTAGGAATCCCTAGGCCAAGTAGCAGCCATCTCAAACAGCTTTATAGCTCAGACAGGGTGGCCCCGGGGCAAAACAAGGCAGGGGACTGACCTTGGCCTGTACCACCTGGGAAACCTCAGAGTATGCACACCCATGGTGTGCTACAGCTACAGACCATGGAGGAGCACCACCACCCTGCCCTTGCACAGCTTATGCTCCATAGACGATGGAGTTTGGTGGTCAATGGTCACAGCCAATTCTTGCAATGAACTAGCCAAGTAAATCCCTCCCACTGACCTGCCAACAGCAATCAAGGCTCAACTACAAGAGGAGGGAGTACTCAGCCCACACAAAGGGTGCACCTCAAGTACCCAGCTTGAGTGATAGGGGAGGCTGTGCCACTGGACTCTACAAGACACCTACTACATTAGGCCACACTACCAGGACATGGAGTCAAAGCAGCTCTACGAAATATATAGAAACAAACACAGGGAGGCTGCCAAAATGAGGAGACAAAGAAACATGGCCCAAATGAAAAGACAGATCAAAACTCCAGAAAAAGAGCTAAATAAAATGAAGATAAGCAATCTATCACATGCAGAGTTCAAAACACTGGTTATAAGGATGCTCAAGGAACTTAGTGAGAACCTCACTAAGCATAAATAAGACAGTAAAAAAACGAAGGATTCATTAACTGAAATAAAAAACAATTTACAGGGAAACAACAGTAGAGCGGATGAAGCTGAGAATCAGATCAATGATATGAAACATAAGGAAGCAAAAACAACCACAAAGAACGACAAGAAGAAAAAAGAACCTCCCCAAAATGAGGTCAGTATAAGCAGCCCCTGGGACAACTTCAAGTGTTCCAGCATTGGCATCATAGGGGGGCCAGAAGGAGAAGAGAAAGAGCAAGAAATTGGGAAGCTATCTGAAAAAATAGTGAAAGAAAACTTCTTAATTTGGTGAAGGGAATAGACATGCAAATCTAAGAAGCACAGAGAGTCCCAATCAAAATGGATGCAAAAAGGCCCACCCCAAGACACATCATAATTAATATGCCAAAGGTTAAAGATAAAGAGAGAATCTTAAAAGCAGCCAGAGAAAAATAGTTAATTACATACAGGCAAGTTCCCATAAGACTATCAGCTCATTTCTCTAAAAGGCTAGAAGGGATTGGCAAGAAATATTCAAAGTCATGAAAAAGCAGAGACCTAAGCCAAGATTACTCTACCCAGCAAAGCTATCATTTAGAATTGCAAAGCAGGTAAAGAGCTGCAGTCAAGGAAAAACTAAAGGAGTTCATCATCACCAAACCATTACTATATGAAATGTTAAAGAGACTTTTTAAGAAAAAGATCAAAACTATGAACAATAAAATGGCAATAAATACATCTAGCAATAGTTGAATCTAAAAAACTAATGAAAGAGCCTCTGGAAGAGCACAAGAATAAACCAGCCATGGAAACATTAGGCTGTACTGACAGGCCACTTGAGGTTTGCGGCCTTCAATATGATGCGAACTCAGTGGGCACTGTTGGGCTGTGGAGGTAGGAACACAGAAAAGGTGAAGGGCTAGATTTCACAAACACTGGGTTTTGCTGGGAAGCACGAGAGATTAGAAATAAGTTGAGGGACTCTTCAAAGCAACTGTTAATG